CTCTCTCCCTGAGAAGTCTTCCCCTGCTAAGAATGGCAAACCCACCTGGTTCAGTGAGGCAGTAGGAGGCAAACTTCTCCATGGCACAAAGTGGTGGGCAAAGCTTGTGTCTCTGTTCTTCATTTCCAAAGCTATCAATCATCCACACACACATGCTGATTGGCGCATCAAGTAAGATATTGACAGAAATAAAGACAGAAAAGAAAATGGGGTGAAGTGGAAGAGAACAAAGGACAGCAAAGCAGATTCAACTTGAAAGGAAACGACTAGGCGAAAATATATTCCTGGAATATGTTCTAAACAGAGACACTAGGATGTGATATTTCTTACCTGGATGTTTATGCTACTTCCAATTAGAACTCCTAGAAATAAGTGTTAAATGTACTTCCTACTTTCTCAAATTTTTGGAAGTTTCATCTGTGGATAGAGGGAACAGGTGACAGTACCCAGACTACTCTACTGGAGCAGTCTGCTGGTAGTGGGTACTAGGACTTGGGAGAAGGCTAGCTGACCTGATTCTCTAAGCAGTATACAAGATAGGATCAAGTCCCCAGGTGGCATATCTAGGATGTCTTAGCAATAGTTTTGTTTCCCAAGGACAAGCAATCCATCCCACATGAATCAACTTCTCCTTATAAGCCAGAAACTTCCTGGTCACTCCATGTGAATGTTCACTCACTTGTGGATGCTCATGTAGGCTGTGGTGCTGGTGCAGCCTGTAGCCAACGCTTCAAAGATGACAGAGGTATCAAGCCGTGACAGTCCAGATCCACCAACATCTGTTCGGACGTAGACTCCCCCAAAGCCTAGCTGTGCTGCCTTCCGCATCATCTCCACAGGGAACATCTCCTATCCACAAACAAGAGAGAAAGCTGGGCACTGGTGACTCACACCTGTTATCCTAGCTACTCAGGAGACTGAGATCTGAGGATCATGGTTCAAAGCCAGCCCAGGAAAGATTGTGAGACTCTGATCTCTAATTAACCACCCAGAAAAGCTGGAAGTGATGCTCTGGCTCAAGTGGTAGAATGCTAAACCTGAGCAAAAAAAGCCCAGGGATAGTGCCCAGATTTTGAGTTCAAGTCTCAGGGCTAGAGAGAGAGAAGGGGGGGAGGGGGAAGGAGAGGGAGAGAGAGAGGAAGAGAGGGAAAGGGAGAGAGGGAGAGAGAGAAGGAGAGAGGGAGAGAGAGAGGTTGGATCTGGATGCCTTCTAGAAAAGGAGTCACTGTTAATAGTTTTCTTATGGTAAATGGAGAAAGGAGACTGGGCAATTGGAATTACAAGGAGGGGAAGATATGGGTCAGAGTGAGCAGAGACACTTGGTGGAGCATCTAGCCACAGGGAAGCATCCTACCTTCTGGTCCCACTCTGCCATATTTGGAGCCATTTCCTGGGCAGCAAAGTCAAAGGCCACTTTCTGAAAAACTTTCTGCTCCTCATTTAATCCCAAGGAAGCTGTGGGTAGGAATACACATATTCAGTTCTAGGATGAAAGCCAGAGGAGAACAACAGCAGTAACAGGAAGCTGAGAGGACAGTTATTTTAGCATTACCCAACACAGAACACCTGTTACAGTGTCTTGGCTGGAGAGGAAACAGTTCTAACGCTTACCCATATCAGCCTAGGACAACACAGGCAGACTCTGCAGACATCTTACAAGTGCCACAGTGGCAGCTGTAAATAGGTAGAAATGGGGGTAAACAGGGATACAAAAAGCAAAAAATGGGAAGAGCAGGATGGATCAAGACACTGGGCAATCAAGAACTATCCCTATCTCCCTTTACTCCCACAGGACTTGGTTGACTTTATTTTTCCAACCTACTTACTTTTCAAAGATCTTAATCTTGGCCTGGTGCTGGTGGCTTACCCTTGTAATCCTACCTACTCTGGAGACTGAGATCTGGGGATTGTTGTGGCTCAAGTGCTAGAGCACAAATCTTGGAGCATGAAAGCTCAGGGATAGTGCCCAGATCCTGAGTTCAAATCCCAGAACTGGTACACACACATATCTTTACTTCTTCTTCTTCATAAATCCATACAAATTAAAAGGCCGGAGTCCAATGTAGTCAAGTGTTGCCTAGCATTCCTGAGGCCCTGTTGTATGATAACTGAAACATGGTAGATCCAATGGAGATCACAAACAGTGTAAGTTATTAGAAAGCCAAAATCAAAGTTCAGCAAAATAAAACACCAGGAAGTGGGTACTCAAAATGGGTGAGGGCGGGGTCAAAGGGGCAGGGGTAGACAAATGAAAAAAAGGAGGAAAATGCAGACAAGAATCCAATGTATATCCTGAAAAATTAAAAAGAGAGATGGAAGGGGTGTGTAGGGATAGGATGGGATGGGTAAGAATGTCAAAAGAGGTATCACTGATCAAGACATATTGTATTCATAAACTACTTGGTTAAATGTTAATGATTTCAAAATGGAAGGTACTACCATGTTTTAGTCCTAGTAGCTCAATATATGTTACTATATCTTCTTCATCATTGTCTTACTTGACCGAGCAAAGAGCTACTTCCTAAAGGCAAGCAATTCCAAACAACCAAAGGAGAGCAGGTAGGATTACAAGGGTGAGCCCTGGGCACCAGGCTGAAATAAAGATTTTTGAAAAATAAGTACATAGGAAAAGTGGAGTCAGCCAAGCCACGTGAGAGTAAAAGAAGACAGTGAGCATTAAGAATATTAGAACTGTATTCTATGACTGGAAGCATGGATCAAGTGGCAGAGTGCCAGACATGAGATAAGCAAGCTAAGCAAGAACCTGGTACTTGATAATACAGCACAACAGGATGGTAGCTGTGGCTCAAGTGGATAAGAATCAATTGTGAATGAAAAAAGCCCAGTGAAAGAGTGAGGCACTGAGTTTGAGCCCCAGAATATATACAGACACAAAGACGGACGGACGGATGGACACACACACACACACACACACACACACACACACACACACACACACAGAAAGGGTAAGGTATATAAAGGAAAACACGGAGATTAAGTAAAACTCCATAATTTTCAAAAGGCAAAAACAACCAGGAAAGTACGCCAAACAAGAGGACTCACGAACTTTGCCAGTTACAGGCAGAGGTGAAAGTGTAAGCACACAATATACTCAAATGGCAAATTGGAAAAACAGAACAAGTGGGATGAGGAAAGCCTTTAACATACAACTTAATTAGAAGCAAAAGGCAAAGCCTCCAGAAGCTTTTAAAATAAAACTACCATCTTTAAATGTATCCAAAGTAGAAAACTTAAGTAGAGACCCAGTAGTACTATTAGAGAATCTTCAGATGCTTGACAATTGTAGGCTTTTGAGTTCTGGCTCTGAAAATGGATCATTTAAGTCAGGGACCTCTCTAAACCTGTTAGCCCAATGTAAAACAAGAAGGCTACTTTTGCTACATTGAGCACATTTTCTCACCTATAAAATGAAGACATTTTATATATAATATATAGGTACCATATAAAATAAATCTTAATATAGGTGCCATATAAAATAAATCTTAATTCTCTTAAAATTGTTCAGCTTTAAAACACAAAGAAACATTCAGGTATGTTAATTATCAATTCATTTAAATTTCCTTTTTCAGTAATAAGGATTAAACCCAGGGATTTGTGTAGGTTTAGAAGATTCTCCACCACAAAACCACTCTACCCAGAGCCTATTAATTTGTTTGGTTTAATATACAATTAGACAATTTTCTTTCATTGACTAAAATAATTTCTTCTGAAAAGCTGAATGAGCCAGGAAGGGGTGGATTGGGAGACATGGATGAGAATGCTGCAAGGGGTCATTGATCAAGATGCACTGTATTCATAAACTGCTTTGTAAAATGGCAACTCCTTTGTGCAACTACTTTTTCAAACAGAAGTAGGTCCTAACAGCTAGAGTTAAACCAGTAACTACTGGAATCACTCATATTTATATTATCGTTTGCCATAACCACTCCACTCTGCTTTGGCATCAATCAAATGACCTTGTTTACAAAATCCTAAGAGATAGATGATATCAAGCAACACCCCTCAACACACAATATTCTATACTTAGTGTGCTTCAAGAGTACATTCTTCTGTAGGTAAAATCTCCCTTCATTTTTAAACAAATGAAAAACCGTCAGAAAAAAACAAGAACTAGTTCGGAGACAGACAGAGAGCTCATTCTCTTTGTCCTGGTAATTGACCAACACTTCATCACCTTCAGCTTATATTCCATTTGCCCTCAGACATTCCGGTTCGTTCCATACCTAGTGGCTTCTCAATCGCATGTTTATTTTTCTTGCCAGTTTCAGCAACACAGGTTTTAAGCCTGCAGGTCATTTACCGCCCCCCCCCCACCGCCGCTTAGGCTCCCCCTGAACATCGGAATCCACACACGCGACTTCATCACACACACACCAGTCACAGGCTACACATCTGGGGGTGTCCGCAATGAGCGGGGCAGAGGGAAGGGGGTTCGGGAGGTAGAGGATGCCGCGAGAAGCGGGAGATGCCCTGCAACGCAGGCTCGGGGTGACGGGCCTCCACCGGGGCAACCGCAGAGGAGGCCGAGCCTGAGGCTCCTCGCAGAAGCCCACGGGAGTCCCGCTTTGTCTCAGCCTTACGATCGATGCAGGAGGTCAAGCTCCGGTGGCAGGTCTGGATGGGGGTCCCGGGACCGCGACGAAGCCAGCTGAGGCGCGCCCCGAGGCAGAGGTAGCCGAGCCGGAGCTTGTCCATCACAAAAACAGACAGGTAGTGCAACTGGACCCTGGCAGCATTTGCACTGGCCTGGACTGACCAGCGACCTCTGTCGCACTGCACTATGGGAGTTGTAGTCTAACATGACCCTCGTTAGCCTCGCTCCAGGCGTGCTTCTCGGAAGAGAGGACTACAACTCCCAGAAATCCTCGGTGGCAGGCACCAATGAGACCTGTAGTCCACGGAACCCTTAGGCTGCGTGCCGGCGGGCGGAGGCGGGGGGCGGAGGGGGGGGCGGAGGCGGGGGGGTGGGGAGGCGGGTTCCGCGTCTGCGCAGATCCCGTGTTTGTGTGAGGTGCAGAAGCGTGGTCACGAGAGCGGGGGACGTTGCCGAGAACTGGAGAGAATTTAGGTGAGGTTATCTCATAGATGGCCGGGGAAAAGGCCCTCGGGGCTGGTAAGCGCTGTCGGCTCGGTTCTCCGCAGGCCAGCCCTTTACCCTTCCCGTTGCCTTCTTTTTGCCGCGCGCAGGCTCTGGAGGACGGCTGAACGGCTTCGGGCCGCTCCCGGTGGACTCCGGAAATCTGCCCGCCCGCCCCTCGCTGAGCTCATGGCAAGACCCCGGAAGAGGCAGGCTGGGGCCGCCAGCTCAGGTGAGCTGCCCGGGACGGCAGAAAAGGCGGTCCCTCTGAACAGCATTTCTCTGAAGCCGGTTCAGGAGTGTTCGCTTTAAGCTGGGCACAGTGGTGCACGCTTGTAATTCCAGCACTGGGGAGATGGAGGCAGGAAGATTAGGAATTCGAGGCCAGTTTGTCTCCCCTGCCCCCCCCCCCAGTGTTCATTTTCCATTCCCTTGTGGATGGAAGCTTTTGGTAGCCCATTGTCACCCATTAACCTCTTCCCATCCTTTTCTTTTCTCTCCAAGTTTCTTCTTGCTTGTTCAACCAAACCACAGTTATTAAGCACTAAGAGTATTTGTTATACGGAGTCCAAGGTACCGAGGTAAAAAGGTAATAACCTTTAAGACAACGTGGGTGGAACTGGTGATCATCATTTTAAGTGAATAAGCAAGGCATAGAAGGTAATGATGTGTGTGTATGTATATGTGTGTGTGTATATATATATATATATATATATGTATGTGTATATATATTATATATATATATGTATACCTCACTCCTATGTGGAATACAAAATACGTTGATCTCGGGGAAGAGTTGACAGTAAGTGGTTGCTGGAGGCCAGGAGAGTTGAGCAGAATGAAGGATGGGGAGTGGCTGGTCAATGGCTACTAAGTTCAGTTGTGCTATTGCACAGGAAGGTGACTATAGATGATGTACTGTACATTTCAAAAGGCTGTAAGAAAGAATTTAGAATGTCATCTCTATAAGGAAATTATGAATGTTTCAGGACATAGATTTATTCAACCTGATTGAAACATTATACAATCTGTACATGTATCAAGATGTCACATGGAATCACAATGATACGTGCAGTTTTCATGTCTTATCTATCAGTTAAAATTTTAAATTAAAAAAGAATTGATTTGCTGGGTGCGGGGTGGCTCACGTCTGTAATCCTAGCTACTCAGGAGGCTGAGATCTGAGGATCACAGTTCTAAGCCAGCCTGGGCAGGAAAGGCCATGAGACTCTTATCTCCAGTAAACCACTAGAAAACTGGAAGTGGCGCTGTGACTCAAGCGGAAGACGCTCGTCTTGAGCTGAAGAGTGCAGGGACAGCGCCCAAGCCCAAAGTTCAAGCCTCACAACCGACCAAAAAAAAAAAAAAAGAAAGAATTGATTAAAAAGTGAGGATGAAAGAAATACAATTCCTTTTCCAAAATAAAATGTTTGAGACCACCTCAAACATGCAAAAAGGTGTAAGTGAAATCTGGGAGACTGGACTGTTGGATATAATAAGAGGGAAACATCACAGGGGAAGCCTTGAAAGGGAGGTAGAATTTGAGTTTAGCTTAAAGAATGGGAAGGCTTGCCTCATTAAATTGATAATCCAGGGATACCCTGTTAGGCAGGTTTTTCTGTCCATTTCCTCATAGATAAACTGAAGTTTCATATGTATAAGACTAAGATGCTATTACTGCTAGTACTTCTACAATCCAGGATCTGAATCTAGGTATGATACCGAAGGGTACACTTTCCCACGATAGCACATTACCTGCTAGCAAGGGTTATGGGACATCTTTTCTTTTTGGTTCTGGTCCTATGGCTTGAACTCAAGGCTTGGGTACTGTCCCTGTGCGTTTGTTGCTCAAGGCTAGTGCTCTATCACTTGAGCCAAAGCTCTACTTCTGGCATTTGGGTAGTTTATTAGAGATAAGTGTCTTACAGGCTTTCCTGTCTGGGCTGGCTTTGAACAATGATCCTTCGATCTCAGCTTTTTAAGTAGCTAGCATTATAATCTTGACCCAGCAATGCCTGACTCATGATCTTTGCTTTTTGCATTCCTATCACAGATAAGAAGGAACTTTCAGGAAAACGTTCCAAAACTTCAAACTCAGGCAAGGCATTGACTAAAGAGGAAAACTGTAGCCCTCAGAAGACTTCAGCCCCTAAAAATGGTGGGAAGAATGTAAGCAAGTACTGGCTGATGAAGTCAGAGCCAGAGAGCCGGCTAGAGAAAGGTGTAGATGTGAAGGTGAGACTATCTGGCTACAAATCCTTCATGCTGTTGTTTCTTAAATGAAAAGTGAATGTGAGACTACATAGGGTTCTACCACCAGCTTACCTCTGAAGGGTGGAAAAGGTGAAAATGAATAAAACCAGCAGAATTTATTACCATCAATTACAAGTTGAGTATTAGCCAAAATGCCTTGGACCAGATGTGTAGATGTGTTTCATAGTTTGGAGATTGTGTGTGTGTGTGTGTGTGTGTGTGTGTGTGTGTGTGTGTGGAGTATTTGGGAAGTTTGGCTTGTTTTTGTCGGTCGTGGGGCCTGAATCCTGGGCCTGGGCGCTTTCCCTCAGCAAGAGCCTTGAGCCGCTTCCAGCTTTTTCTGCTTAATGTGGTGCTGAGGAATCGAACTCAGGGCCTCATGCATGGGAGGCAAGCACTCTACCACTGAGCCGCCTTCCCAGCCCCATGTGTGGGAAGTTGTACAGGTTGAGCATATCTAATCAAAATATCTGAATCTAAAACTTTTGAATATTGGTACATTTCAGAACATTTTGGATTTCAGATATCCAGATTAGGCATGTTCAGACTCTTACCTGTTTTGTAACTAGATTCTATCCAGGTAGGCCTAGGCAAACTTCTGTGAAGTGCAAGATAGTAAATACTGTAGGCCTGGGGGTTTTATAGTTTCTGTTGAAACTGCCTGTATGGTAGGAAATTGGCCATAGTACATAAACAAGTATAGTTGTGTTCAAGTAAAACTGTGGGGTTAGATCCTAAAGCCTGCTAGTTTGCCAGCTTCACTGTTTCTGTAATTTTTTTGTTGTTCTTGTTTTGAGATAAGAGTTTCACTGTGTGCCTCAGGAAATCCTCAAGCTCACTAATCCTCCATGCTGGAATTGCAGATGCTTACCAACATGCTTGCTTACTAACACGCTTGCCCCTGGCAAGCCCTTATGTGCCTCCTTATTTAATTTGGTATACATTCAGGAAGTAGATGGAAACCAGTGTTAATAACAGCCTGAGAGAAGAAATACATAATACTTCATAAGAGTAATGCTAGAAACCAAGAGATTATCATCTTGGTTATCTATTCAGCTAATCCCCTTAATTATCCAAGATCCAAGTAATCCAGGGCTTAAATCCATTCAACATCAATGGTTCTGTAAAGCTGTTTCCTAGTAAACTACACATTTCTGTTAGAGCTTATAGCACTTTTCAGTGGTAGGGAGGAAACTTCCATATATGCTTACCAATTGGCCTTGACCTTGGTGATTTCATGAATGACTTTATTTCCTCTTGCCTAGTTTGGCATTGATGATCTCAAAGCAGAGCCCAAGCAGACAGCATGCTGGGATGGTGTTCGAAACTACCAGGTAAGGGGATTAGGTGCAAGGCTCCTGAGACTTAGGACTGGGTAAATGTCTACCTCCTCCTCCTCTTGGCCAAAAAGTTGTTTTCCTAGAACCTTAGCCTGAAAAAAAATTTTTTAATATTGTATTTACATATATTGTATGAAATCTGTAAGTGACCTGGTTCTGGCCAGTGTCCTAGCACAAGTCTGGATGTTTTGGCAAAGGGACAAACTGATGAGTTGGGAAGAAGTTGAAAAATAGAAAAAGTGATCTAATAAAAGGAGAACTGATTTAAAAAAAACTTTTTTTGGCCAAAGCTGGCATTTCCAAGCTGGTAGGAAGGATAATCCCTGTCTCTTCTCTCTTGGATCAGGCTCGGAACTTCCTGAGAGCCATGAAGTTGGAGGAAGAAGCCTTTTTCTACCATAGCAATTGCAAAGAGCCAGGCATTGTGGGACTTATGAAGGTAAGGGGGCTAGGTTGTATATTAAGACCCTCCCTCTTGAGAGAGACTGACTCGTCTAAGGGATACAGCTCAGATAGATAACAAAAGGAGGTGTCTTTCTCCCCAGGAACAGAGACAAGACTGTCCTGTTCCCTTCCAATATGGTAAGGACTAGAATAAATCTTGCTTTCATTTCAGGGCCTGCTAGCACACACTTCTTCATCTCTCTGTCTTTGTCTTTCACTCAGAAGAAAGCCTGGTGGCAACTTCTCCTATCTAAATTGTTGTTAGTAATTATTACTATTTAGTTTTAGAACATGCTTGTAAGACTATAAAATAAAAACAAGGCTGATTTCCTAACTGTATTTGCCCTAGGCTATAATATTTTTAGATATATGAGCACTGATTGGCTGGCTGTATAGCAAGGGGGAAGGTGGGTACAAATGGGTAGAGTAAGAATGAAAGTTAGATTTTTATTCATGATTGGCTATGGAGCTGAAATGATGGGAAACTTTGGATGTTGTTTCAGATTGTTAAGGAGGCTTACCCAGATCACACACAGTTTGACAAAAACAATCCTCATTATGACCCATCCAGCAAAGAGGACAACCCCAAATGGTCCATGGTAAAGACTCCTGTTCTATTTTGTGAGCAGGGAAAGGTGGATGAAGGGAGAAGGGCAGGATACAAGGAGCACAGCCAAGTCTTGCTCAATTGAGGATATGCTGATTTAGGTCATTAGAACAGAATTGGCAGCCTTATTCCCGGGAGTTTCCTGCAAGCAGCCAAAACCCATTATGCGTTGGCATAAGGCACATGCCATTGTCCCAGCACTCAGGAGGTGGAGGCTGGAGGATTGTTTGAGCCCAGGCATGTAAGGCCAGCCTCGGCAGTATGACAAGTGTTGCAGAGCCTGGCTAGACAAACCTTTGACCCGTACACTGATGTCACATAGGTGGATGTACAGTTTGTACGGATGATGAAGCGTTTCATCTCCCTGGCTGAGCTCAAAACCTACCACCAGACTCATAAAACAACTGGTGGCCCCTTAAAAAATATGGCGCTCTTCACTAGGCAGAGACTTTCAATTCAGCCGCTGACCCAAGGTAAGAATGGGCCCCTTCCCTTATCCATACATTAGAACTGCCCCCATGAATTCACTCACTAGCTGATTAAACTTGCGCACAGTAGTAAATCCTTTTGAATCAGTGTCTTCACTTGTGAGACCTTTGAGGAAGGAGTTCCTGAGTTTCCCATTACTATGTGCCCAGTATCCAAATCCTTGGCATTTTAAAAACATCTTTATCATTTTTGAATGAATAGCTGCCTGATGCAGTATCGCACCAAAGATCTACTGGAGCCTGGTATTCACTTTCTTGTTCAGGAAGAAACCTATTTCTTCTTTTTATCCCTTTTTGTTTCTGGTAGAAGAGTTTGATTTTATTTTGAGCCTGGAGAAAAAGGAACCAAGTTAACTGAGGTATTGCTGTTGGAATGGACACCAAAAAGAGAAAGAAAGAAGGAAGGAAAGAAGGGGAAAGAAAAGCTTTTAGAAAAAGTTTGCCTATTGCATTCACCTGGGATCATGTACAAATGTGTTTATTTACTTTTTTTTTCAATAAAGTGTTTGATACCAAAGTTGAAAGCTTTTCTTCTAAAACTTCATTGGTACCTCGTGCTGGTGGCTCACACCTGTGATCCATGTTACTCGGGAGGCTAAGATCTGAGGATTGAGGTTTCAAGCCAGCCCAGACAGACAAATCTGGGACACTTGTCTGCCAATTACCAGCAAAAACACCCCATAAAACAAACAAACAAGAACACCCACCAAAATGCCAGAAGTGGCTGAACTAGTAGAATTCCATCCTTGTGTGAAAAGGCCAAGTGAGAACCAACACTGTACTATCAAAAAGCAAGCAAACAAAACACTTCACCTTCATTGGATGTGGCAGAATACTCCTGCACATCTCTTAGACCAAGGCTGCTCCTTTGGCCATTGGAAAGATGGAGGGAGCCTCTCCCATCCACCTCTACCCTTGCTGATACTTACTTAACAAATAGAAAAATGTAGGGATGAGTTCTTTGGTCTTGTAACACTCACTGAAATGCATTTTTAGACCTAAACCAGTCTTTCTCACCAGCCTTTAAAGTCCTCTGGGTCTTACTGAGGTTTAAATGGGTTTTAGAGTAAGTTGCCAGATAAGAGGTAAAACCTAAATTTGCTTTCCAGCCATGTAATCATCTAAAACAGGTGCTCATCCTTGCTTTTCAGGAGCTGTCCACTGAGAAAGCAGGAGCTGTGGTAGAGTTGGGATGAGAATCTTTCCCTGAGTGTCAGAGGTAGGACATTGTAAGACAAGAGACCACAGAATCTGGTGGACCGTGAGCACAATGCCTCTAAAGCCACAGGGGCTTCCTTTAATTAGAGAGACCATTAAAACAAGTATTCTTTTTAAAATACAGCCATTGAAAAGACAACACATTAAGAAACATGTAAACACTGCAGCTGCGTAATTACAAGTTGCACTGCTTGGTTTAGTACCTGTGCACTCCAGGTCTGGGAACCTTAAAGGAGGGGGGACAGGAGCTTCCCCTCACTTTCACAGTAGAGAAGAGATGAGAACAGGGGCAGAGTCAGAAAACTAGACCTGGCTGTACACAGTGCAAGAGGAAGCAAATTCTGTCTCTTCTAGTTCTCCCGGAAGGAAGGTTTAGGATGTTAGGAAAATGGGTGAATGAATTTGTGTTGTCAGTTGGGAGGCAGAGGAATTGACAAATGCTTTTTAATTAGAATACTAGCTCTATTAAAAGGAGGCACACCAGAGCCTAATCTCATGCTCTGAAAAAGGCAATACCACTGAACCCGCCTCCCTCATACACTTAGCTCCAGCCTTGATAATCCAACGGCAGCTGGATGGATGATCTTGTTCCACAGGGATTGTGTATCGCACCTGAACTTGGGGTCTGGCATGGGGGAAGCCTTCCTTGGCTCTGCTGCACCCAGTTAACTTTATGTGTACCCCAGGGCCTTTCCCTTCAGTTCTGTTCCATGATTTCTTGTCCAGTCAAGGCCCAAGACTGCAGTTTTCTGAGGAAAAGAGGGGTCCCCATTTTCCACACGAACTGAGACAACACAGCAACCAAAGTTCTACTTTCCAAATTGCCAGTAATGCAGATCACTAACTATGGTACCCATTGGCCAGTGGGGTCTGTTTGGTTTTGTATAGAGGGAAGAGAGGCCAATAGGAGAATAGTTCTGGCCATTCCCAGATGAGACAGGGCAGGCAGTAAACATCTTTACTACTGTAGGCCTGAATACAGAGCAACAGAGAGGGAACTGCCTCTCCCCTAGGGTAACAATATCTAGGAGAATTTTCCTATTTGTGTTTTTCTAAAAAAAAAAAAAAAGCAAAAAACCAACGGTCCTAACCTTGGGTCAGTGAACTTGTGAAGATGAAGATATAATTTGGCAAGCAGAATTATTCTGAGGTGGTAGAAGAGTCCTTTGTGGGGACCATAATCTCCCTCCCTTACAAGTAGAGGGAAGAAGGTGCTAGGGATGTGGGGATAAGAACAGAATTTCCAAGTGTTTGAAACTAAGCCCTAATTCCCAGACATTAGGTGGGGGGTCGGGAGTGATAAGAGTCCACTCCGGGAGGCAAAATGATCCTGGTCCCTGCCAGGACGTCTGCTTCAAGGAGACAACCATCATGCTTAGGGTTTGGGGAACACAACAATACCCTAGCACAACCCAGCCCTCAGGGCTTCGAAGTGGAGTCACATGGTCAGGAAGACAAGTTGCCGTGCCTTGTCCTTCTTCCTCAGTCCCCTGGCTATTGTGTACTGGACCCCAGGCTTCTCGGTGCCCAGACATTTCTTATGGGTAAGGGGACAGTCAGCTCCAGGCCCTTTCACTTGTTTCTGCTCCAGGATGCTCCTGACAAGCCTGAAAAGATGGAGAGGTACCTGGGTCCCAGAAGTGGTAGGCCAAAGAGGTGGCTTGTGGAAACTTCAAAGCACCTCGCCCGAGACTCCAAGAGAGAAAGCTTCCTGATCTTGAGTGTTTTTCCCTACTTGGGATGAGAGAGGCCTAACTCCTCCTGCTGCCACCTCAAGGACGGTCGGTCAAGGGGAGTGTAAGCCATGACTCTGCAGGCAGCTCTGCATCCCAGGGACACACACAGATCCTGTATCAGGAAGCCCAGAGAACCAGTAGCCAAGGATGCATGCTCGGCAGCTCTCCTCGAGACACCAAGCAACCCAAGGGGAAGCTGGCTCTCATTTCCCAAGGAGAGACTAGCTTCCTAGATGCTCCCTCTCTCTAGCCCCCCCATCAGCTGCAGAATCTCAGGGAGACTGCTTCCCAACCCAATGCCCTTTATGTTCTTCAGAGAAAAGAATTGAAGTCAAAAAACATGATTTGTTTTCAAGATTGCAAGTAACGGTCAGCTGAGCCAACGCCATCCTCCCCCTCCCCCGGCCGCTGGTGTTTGGTAGATGGAGATGCTGAGCCACAGCCCAGCCAGCTTCTTGGCCGGGGCCTACTGCCTGCCATTGTTGTCTGACAGTGGGTTGGGGGTCCGCACCTCACCCAGGGAGGCTGTGCCCTCGAAACGTTGGGAGGCCACGGCTGCTTGGTGGGATGCACTCTTCCGCACGATGTCTCCCTTCCGCCACAGCACCACTTCCTGCAGGATTGAGAGGAAACCTGAGAGGAAGGCTTGGGAGGGGCCTTCCAGGAGCTCCCACCTTGGTCCTGGAGAATCTTAGGCAAGAATCTCTACCGACCTCTCCTTCAAACGGGCTGCCTCTGCCTCTTGTCCCTGCTGAGGGTCCAGTATCATTCTTGCTGTGGGATTTTGGATAACCTAACATTTCCACCCCTTGCTAAAATAGCAGTATAGACTGACTAGCTCCTCTCTTGTCTGTTTAGTCTGTTAAAAATGGAATCTACCCTTCCCTGGAAAGGATGTTCTTTCTTTCTGTGCAGTTCCCAGGACACCTAGGAGTCTGCAGGGGGCAATCACCTGCTGCTTGAAGTATCGCCGTTCCTCCTCATCTATCAGCACCAGGTTGAGGTAATAGCGCACAGAGAACTTCTTGTTGATGTCCCGCATGGTGGGCGTGAGCTCATACCCTGCCAGGAAGAGCCGGATGGGGATGGACTCTCCTGCAAGGAGTGAGGCAGGAATCAAGGCAAGGGACAAAGCACCCCCAACTCCATCTTATACCGGCTCTGTTTCTGAGGCTCCAACTGAGCAAGGCACAGAGCACTAAGCAAAGGCTTCTCCCTTTTGGATGTTGTACTCTAACTCCCAGTAGCTGCTGCAGAAAAACTGGGTTTCTTCCGTTCCATCCCTGTGGGCACCTTTTGCCTGTCTTCTCACATCTTACTGCAGTTGAGTGTGAAGGACATAGGGATGTTGTGTATAAACATCTTTAGGCATACACAATGTACCTGCTTCCTGAGTTTTCAAGAGGCAGTTGTCAAACCCAAGAGGCCAGTCATCCAGCAATTATGACACCACCTCCCTCCATCCAAGTTAGAGCACGCCCCACAATACATTGCCAATCTTGAATATGGATCTGCGGGGCAAGGGAGGACCTAGAACATAGAAATATTCGCTCTGGTCCCTAGTCTACACTAGCCCATTTATGACTTGTGAATATAGCTGTTGCTTTTTCTGGACCTAAGTTATGGAAAACCAGAGAATCCAACTGCACAATACTTTTGATCCCTTTTAGTTCCTAACACTGCACCTTTCTTAGTATACAAGGAATAAAATTAGGGCAGTAATTCTACTGGGAAAGTCCAAACCTATAATGTAGTCTAAATATAAATAATCTTAATTATCTGTGCTTTGTATCATCTTCTTGGTACCCCATTTCATTTGTGCAGGAAAAATGACAGCATCAGAGAGTCAGGAGAGCCAGGGCTCTCCCAACGCCTAGCACTGCGACACATAGGAATATGCTGAATATACCTAGTGTTGCAGGCTGTTAACTCCACACATTGCTTCTTCTATGTGGAACAGGCCATGGGAATACACTGGGTAAAACCTTGGATGCACCCAGCACTTCACCATGAGAAGAAACACTCTTCACCCTCTGTTGCTAGGGAGTCAGTAAAGACTGTAAATGTTCCTATGCCACAATAATCACCTGAATCCCCTGAATTACAAACACCTTTCGATTCTGCTCATCTTAGATGTACTATCAGCCTCATGGGGTGAGAGACCATTTCCATGGGGTTCTGGCGCTGGCTGTAGTCCTGAGTAATGTGTTGTAAGTACCTTATAGGGCCCCTCTATGCTAGATTAACAAATTCAGAATGACTCATTTTTTACCAGAGCTAAGTGATGAAAATGACTGCCCCACACCATCTCTTTAAAAAACAAAAGTCAGGATGGCAACTAGAAAAAGAAGTAAAATGTTCACACTGTATCTTAAATCAGTACCTTTCAAACTTACATTTTTTAAACACCAACAACAAAACAAGTCTAATTTCTTTCTTTTTTTTTTTTGTGCCAGTACTGAGGTTTGAACTCAGGGCCTGGGTGTCATCCCTTAGCTTTTTGCACTTTACTATTTGAGCTATTCCAGCTTTTTGTTGGTTAATTGAAGATATGAATATCTTGGATTTGTCTGTCCTGGCTGGCTTTGAATGGAGATCATCAGATCTCAGCGTCCTGAGTAATAAGATGTGAGACACTGGCACCCAGCTCCAGGTCTAATTCTTGAGATTAAATTTAATATATGCATAAAGTCAATATTGAACTGTTGTGGTTAAGGATGGAGTTGCAGCCTAAAGTTCCAGAGACTCAACTTTTCTATTCCTTTTTCCCTGTGGTGCTGGGGACTGAACCCAGGCTTCATGCAGAATGCTCTACCACTGAGCTATACCTACAGATTCAATCTTTTATTCTTCCTTATTAGCTCTCACAGTGTACACACAATTAAGAGACTAAGAAATCATAAGTTAGTAAGCATTTCACTTCAACAATGTCATCTCTTAAGCTCTTCCCAGATTCTGTACAGGGCCAGGAACCAAAGGTATGGTGGTAGGGGACCAGAAGGCTCACCTCGTACTGGTGCCCCATCCATGATCTCGTACTTGGCTATTGTATCATTCTCATGGTACACGTTGGGGCCTGTGCCTGTTGTTTCCCGTTTGATGATGTCTATCTCCATGTGCTTGATTTTGATTCTCACCAGCAGGAAGTATATCTTCCCTACAATGACATCTTTCAAGTGGTATCTGAAGAAGAGAAAGTAGAGGAAGTAAGGTGGTGGTGCCGTGGCTGGTCTCTGTTTCAGCAGAAAGCACACTGCCAGGACTGCCCATGCTGTGCATTCATCCATCTTCCCCTCCTTGCTGCCATGGTAGAATGAGTTACCTAATATCCTTTGCACAAATCTGGGTGATTCCCATTCTTCCACAGTCTGCTCAAAGGACATCTATCCTACATAATACTTCACTCATTCTTAGGTACTCATCTGCTCTTGTCTCATCAACACATACTTCAGTATTGGTGCTTTTAAAATGTCTGTGGTTTTCTTATGTTTGAGAGGACAGTTCTACAAACCAGGTCTCTCCCTTCCTCCCGGTTCTCCACATAATGTCTTTTGGGAACTGGACCTGAACAGCCCACAACAAACAGTTGTATTTGCTCTGAGCTGGACAGGCCAGGCAGAAGCAGTGGAGGGAGATGGGTGAGTCTCTCTTGGAATCAGTGTCTGCTCTCTGGGCTCTGTTTGCATGGCTTGTGCTGCATGCTCTGTGTGCTCAGCCTAGTGGACACGAACACTGGCAGGAACTTCAGACTTCAGCCTCCTTATATGACAGTATAAAAAAGGAAGATAAGGCTGGGAAGGTGGCTCAGTGGTAGAGTGCTTGCCTTGCATGCCTGAGGCCCTGGGTTCAATTCCTCAGCACCACATAAGCAGAAAGAAAAAAGCTGGAAGTGGCACTATGGCTCAAGTGGTAGAGCGCTAGCCTTGAGCTGAAGAGCTGAGGGACAGTGCACAGACCCAGAGTTCAGGCCCCACGACCGGACCCAAAAAATAAAAAAGTAAAAAATAAAAAAGGAAGATAGAATTGAGAGGGGGCAGAGAGAGGTAAATCCAGATACCTAGTCCTCAGATGGGGTTCTCCAAGGGGTCTCAGCACCCTTCTTAGTCTATTAGGAAGGTTGCAGACCTGAGTAGATAAGCGCACATCTTCTGCTAGCTGCTGCCATTAACAAGTACCTGCCACATTAGTGGACATGACCATACAATGCCCGGAGAGGAGAAAGGGAAGAGGCCAATTTTCATGCCAGGCCCAAACTGGCCTCCCTTTTAGTACCTCAATCTTGATCTTCAGATGGGCCAGGCCAAAGGGGCTTATTCCAGGTCATACTGGGCTCCAGGCCCCGGGGGTGGAAGGAAATAACTTCATATCTATTCCAGGTACTAAGTATGTTCTTAGTTTAGAAAATGTTGTTTCCCAGCTCCTGCAAAGGTGACCATCTAGATCAACTTCTATCACTTCACTCAGCCTCTGTTACATAGTAGGTCTGGAGCTGGGTGAAGTGGACAGGGCAGGGAAGCACCACAGGGAGACTATAATTGTACACTTTTTGTTTTTTGTTTTTGGTCAGTCATCGGGTTTGAACTTGGGGCCTGGGTGCTGTCCCTGAGCTCTTTTTCCTCAAAGCTAGCACTCTACCACTTTGAACCACAGCACCACTTCTGGTTTTCTGGTGGTTAATAGGAGATAAGAGTCTCATAGACTTTCCTGCCCAAGCTGGCTTGGAACTGAGATCCGAAGATCTCAGTCTGTTGAGTAACTAAGATTATAGGCATGGGCCACCAGTGTTTGGCTTGTACACTTCTTTTTAGATCTCTGTGAGTAGAATATTCTGTTTACTTTTGGATATTTGATTTCCAAACATTTTCAAGGACAGATTATATTCAAAAGAAAGATACTTTTGAAACTGTCAGACTTCTGGAAAATATTGTGATTTATAAGCAGTTAAATACTTTGGTGTTTTATCAATAAACACAGTCTAAAAATACACACACACACACACACACACACACACACACACAAAACAGATGACAACAACAAAATACATAGTTTCCCAGCTTACCAGTTAAAAGAAAAGTTATTTTTCTCTTATTCTTTGTTTTTATTTTGCCCATACTGAAGTTTAAACTCTGGTGTCACATTTACTTGGTTGGCACTCTGCCACTTGAATCATGCTTCCAGCCTAATTTTATTTAAGCTGGTTATTTTGAAGTTAGTCTCATATATTAATTCTGCCACAGGAGGCTTCAAACTGTATCCACCAGATCTCAGCCTCCTAAATAAGTTAAGACTACAGGCATGAGCCACTGACTCCTGGCCTAAAACTGTTTTAAGATCTTTATAAAAATGGATTGGGTATTTTTGACCACAACTCATATTAGTCCAAGAAGGAAGCAGCAAACTATTGTAAATGTTTGTTTTCTTCACTGTGATTTCTAAAGACACAGAGGAAACAAGTCATAATGGAATTGTGTTCTCTGATTATTCTCATCTGCAGAAGGAAACAGCTATCCCTGGAATCTAAAACAACCTAAAAGTTACTTGGCTTGACATTAAAGGCATCTTCAGATGTTTAACTCTAGAATGCTACTTAAGTTAGTGTATTGTAAATAGAGTGAAGTATCAATTTCCAGGCCCATCTATCGGGAACTAATCTATTATATGTATTTATTTACTATATTATTTCTGTTTCCCCCCTCCCTTACAGCATATCTCTATGATTCAGTAGAGTCAAGATCTCTATTAATTGGCATACAAATCAGATTCTGTCTCCAATTATTTTTTGTGTGTATGCGGGTACTGAGGATTGAACTCAGAACTTTGCAGATTCACTTGGCTTTTTTGCTCAAGGCTGACATGACTTGAGCCAAACTCTGTTTACAGCATTTTCTAGTTCACTGGAGGTAAGAATCCCATGTGTGTTGTTTTTGGTTTTGTTTCTTTTTTTTTTCCCCTTGGCTGACTTTGAATTGTGATCCTCAGTTATCAGCCTCCTGAATGGCTGGGATTCCAGACATGAGCCACCAGTGTCCAGTTCAACAATTATTCTACAATCATGTGGCCCAGGATACTTACTTGGATTTATTATACTCAAACTCAATGTGCAGGCAATCCTCAATCCCCACTTCCATCTTGATGGAAGAGTTCAGCTCCGGGTATGTGCTGAGTGTATGAACTACAATGTCCATCTCTTTGACAACATCATTGAGGCGGCGGCTGATGGTGGCTCGAAGGAAATACCTAGAGGAGATGGAACTGTCATGAATGAAATCTCTCGCTTTGCAGATGCTGCCTAGATACACACACCAAACTGGCACACTTGAGAGAAACCCTTATGGTGATTTTTAACCTTCTTGGATTTCATATTCCTTTGAGAATTTGTATCCCTTTGAGAATTTATGGACCCAGAAAAAGTACACATGTGCATCTACATAGAAAATGTTTTCACCCATAATTCTAGGGAACTGAGAGACTCTCTTATGTTTGGAGCCTATGACCTTGGTTTACAGCAAGCTGTTTGCAGGCCTTTCATGGCCCTTACCACTATCTTCTATTTGTTGTTGTATGTATGTATGCAGGGCCTGGGCACTGTCCCTGAACTTTTGTGCTAAAGGCTAGCACTCTACCACTTGAGCCACAACTCCATTTCTGGCTTTTTGGTGGTTAATTGGAGATAAGAGTCTATAGATTTTCCTACCTGGACTGGCTTCAAACCTCAGATCTCAGCCTGCTAAATAGCAAAGATTATAGGTGTAAGCCACTGGTGCCCGTCTTCTTCCATATGTTTTTATGCAAGTTTTCTTTCTTCACTTAACACCTGGCCTATGGGGCACAGGGATCTGTTCATGATCTTTTTTTTTTTTTTCTTGCCAGATCTAAGGTTTAAACTCAGGCCTTCGTGCTCTCAATTGCTTTTTTGCTCAAGGTTAGCATTCTCCTACTTGGGCCATAACTCCATTTTTGGCTTTTTGCTGGTTAATCTATCTTACAGGCTGACTTCAAACTGCAATCCTCAGATCTCAGACTTGTGAGCCAGGATTACAGGCATGCTCCCCCAGCGCTCTGCTGTCCCATACTTGTATATTTGCATTTCTGTTCATCTTACCAATGTTTGATCGATAAACATTTTTCAGGTGTCTCATGGTTAAAAGAAGAGAAAAGGAAGAAGTTAAGTCAGCTATTCATCCAGCAAACTTACTGAGCTAAGCACTGTGTTAGTCATGGGATGAATAAGATAGCTTCATGGGAAGCTCACAGTCCACTGGGAGAGATGGGCAAATAAAAAGAAAAAGTACTCAAGGAAAGTGCTAATTCCAGATGCCACAATTTAGTGCTGTGGAGAGAAGAAAGGGGAGCCCAAGAATCAAGATCGGACCTTCATGTAAAGCAATAGAGGCTGAGTTTGAATAGCAGAGAAGTCTGGTTCAAACTTGGGGATGAGACTGTTTTGTAGGCAAAGGGTTAGAAAAAAAAGACCTAAGTCCCTAAAGGTTTAACAGGTCCAGGTTCTGTAGCCAGCTACTTCAACATCACCTGTCACCTGGATATAACACTATGCTAATATCTAATGGGGTAGAGAACACCCCTTTAATTATAGCTTCTTTTTCTTTCTTTCTTTCTTTTTTTTTTTTTTGTTAGTCGTGGGGCCCGAACTCTGGGCCTGGGCGCTGTCCCTCAGCTCTTCAGCTCAAGGCTAGTGCTCTACCACTTGAGCCACAGTTCCACGTTCAGTTTTCTGGTGGATTATTGGAGATAAGAGTCTCACAGACTTTCCTGCCCCGGCTGGCTTTGAATCGCAATGCTCAGATCTCAGTCTCCTGAGTAGCTAGGATTAAGGTATGAGCCAACAGTGCCTGGACTAATTATAGCTTCTTTTAAATGGCACTTAGTTAACCTCTATTGCCTATTAAGCATTATTGGAGATCATTATAACCATATGCTCACCACATTAACTACACATTTGTTCAACTGTCTTTCATGTGGCATGTATTGCTTTTTGGCTCATCAACTTCTGTCACATTGCCCAAAGCCTGTTTTGGGAAGATACTGCTTTTTTACTCTACCAGGGAGAGTAAAATTTTCAAGTCAAGGTTTGTAACTTTCTCCCTTTTCTTCTTTGTGCTGTTTTTATTTTGCACCTTCATCCATCCACTTTCTTCATCAGCAAACCTCTTCCATCTCACACAACCACTCTCAGTCAGAAAGAAGGACTGAAAACTCTCCCTGCCCTGGCATATCTGACATTTACTTACACTGCTGAGGGACATAACATTTTAAAAAGCTTCCCAACGGATTCTAATGTGGGAACCTGGGTCCGCCATCTTGATCCTTCTGCTTTTCCAATTTTCTCCAAATAGTTTTATTTTATTCTATTTTTTTTAAAGCTAAAGGCTCCTTCCTTTGAGCTTATAAAAAGCCTCAAGTTTACAAATCCTGAAAACCCGCTTGCTTTCTAGCCCAGGCTAGTCTCCCAAGTGCTGGGATTACAGGCAGGCCGGTGTTACACTGTTGACCTACCTACCACAGCTTCTCTTTCTTGTCTTCACAGACAGCTGTCATAAGACAGGTCCCGTTCCTGACATCGTTTTCTTCACCAACTGCTACTCCCAATCACTTCCATGCAATAGTTTATGTGACCTTCCAGGTGCCCAAAACAGCGCTCCTTTTCTCTGAGTGGTGCAAAAACATTTCCTTCTCCTTAAACTTCCTGAGGGTCTTTAGAGGTTCAGGACCCTAACAGACCCGATTTTCTTCTTAGCCCCACAGGTCCTGGTTCTTCCCTCCTTACACTGCTTCCTCCTTGGGAATATGAATCAGTTCTTCGTTCCTCCTCCATCCTGTACTCAGAACCTAGACTGTACTTCTGGGAATCTGGTGAAGATTTACAACTCTCTATATTGTCAGCACTTCAAATTCCTCTCCAGAATCAAACGAATCATCTTATTTGCACATCGTTTCTCCCTCCTCATAGTCCTGTCTCTTCCTATGGCTGCAAGCCTCCGCTCAGTAAATTTCACTGTTGTCTATTAAGTAACTCAATTTCTGTCTGTTCTTGTCTCCACCAAAGTACAACTTGTAGCTGCCGATCAGTTCTGTCTCTGAGTTCTTCCCATCACAGTCACTTTAATCTTTAAAAGAACCATTCCCCTAAGATGAAACTAAGATAGTCTAGAAAAAAATTTTGATATTTCTCCTCTGCCTTTATAAGATTACAGTGCTTGATATGGAATTTACATCTTCCTCAGCTAAAACTATCCTAATTTCTCCATTTTTAAAAACCTCCTCTCAACACGAATCCTAAAGTCTTCATCTAATTTGGACATAATGCTTTTTTCTGTTTTATTAATTGTAGCAAAATTTACAATTATGACTTTTTGTGCCAGTACTGGGGGGATTTGAGCTCAGGGCTTTACATGTTGTACGTTGATGCTATACCTCTATGCCACACTTCTAGCCCTGGGCCAAGTGGCTAAGTTATTTTTATTGTTTAAAGTGAGATCTCATGCTGGGCACTGGTGGCTCACACCTGTAATCCTAGCTACTCAGGAAGCTGAGATCTGAGGATCGTAGTGTAAAGCCAGCCTAGGCAGGTAAGCCTGTGAGACTCTTACCTCCAATAAACCACTAGAAAACTGGAAGTGGCACTGTGGCTCAAGTGGTAGAGTGCTGGCCTTGAGCTGAAGAGCTGAGGGACAGCGCCCAGGCCCTGAGTTCAAGCCCTACAACTGGAAAAAATAAATGAATAAAATAAGGTCTCACTTCCTTCCCAGACATGCATTTGAACTGTGATCCACTTTTAAGTTCCCCCATGTCACAGTGCACATGTACTACAATGTCCACAGAGCACGCTCTACAGGCTTCAGCTTTCCTTCTGTGGACAGGGAGTCTTGAGGACTTTTCTTCCAAGCTGACCTAGCACCACTATTCTCCGAATCTCAGCTTTCTATGTAGTTTGGGATTACAGATGTATGCCACTGCCCAGCTATGGGTTGAGAAGGGGTTTTGAGAAATTTTCCCAGCCTCTCTAGTAGCTAGGATTAAAATAATGAGCCACCAGTACCCTTCTCTGCAATTACAAACTTTTTTTAAAACAAAGTTTTAGCAAGGGTTTATTTTAATGTAACAGGAGAAGATAAGGAGAAATGGAAAAGAGAGAAACATTTCCTGTTCCCCATGCAGGAAATGGGCGTTAAAAACTCCTATGACCTTTTTTATTTTTATTTTTTTTGTCGTTGTTTTGTTTGGTGGTGGTATTTTCTATGTTTTTTATTTTTTTTGTGCCCATCCTGGGACTTGAACTCAAGGCCTGGGCACTATCCCTGAGCTCTTTACTCTCAGTTAGTGCTCTATCTCGGGAGTCACAGATCCACTTCCAGCACTTCTTGTTTTTGGTAATTTAGTGGAAATGAGAGTCTCACAAACATTCCTGCCCAGGGTAGCTTCAGTCCACAATTTGAGGATTTCAGCTTCCCTACGTAACTAGGATTATAGACCTGAGCCACCAGTGCCCAGCTTTGATGTGTTTTTTTTTGTTGTTTGTTTTTTTTTTTGCTCTGAAGCCCCAGGCTGGACTTAAACCCACTGTATAGCCCAGACTATCCTCAAAGTCAAGATTCTCCTGCCTCAGCTTCCTGAGTGCTAGGATAAACTCTTGACCTCTATTTTAATCCTTTTAAATGCACGGTTCATGGGGCTGGGAAGGTGGCTCAGTGGTAGAGTGCTTGCCTTTCATGAATAAGGCCCTGGGTTTGATTCCTCAGCACCACCTAAGTAGAAAAAGCCAGAAGTGGCACTGTGGCTCAAGTGGTAGAGCACTAGCCTTGAGCTGAAGAGCTGAGGGACAGTGCCTAGGCCTAGAGTTCAGGCCCCACAACCAATTAAAAAAAAAAAGCACAGTTCATGACATGATATATATTCATACTGTTGTGACATTATAATCACTGTCCATCTCCAGAAATTTCCCATCTTAACTGAAGCCCTTTCCACAATGATTTATACCTTTTTCATTTCCCCATCCTCTCAGCCGCTAGCAACACCCACTCTACCTTTTGTGTCTATGAACTTGACTCTACTTGGTACTTCAAGTAAAGGAAATTAATTAGTATTTGCCCTTTTGTGACTGGCTTAAGGTTCATTCACATTTGAGCACGACAGAATTTTCTTACTTTGAAGGCTGTGTAGTAATCCATTATACATACATACTGCATTTGTTTATCCACTCATTTACTGATGGAAACCTAAGTTGATTTTACCTCTCAGTTATTATGAATAAATACTGCTATGAACATGTATGTACAAACACTTGCTCCAGACCTAGCGTTCTTATCTTTTGGATAAATAAGTAGTGAGTTTATGTTTTCATTTTATGTATGTGGCTGTATGTGTGTGTATCAGTGTGTGTGTGTATGTGTGTTACAATATGCTCCACCATTGAACTACACACCTAGCCCCATATTTAATTTTTTGAGAAACCCCATGTCTTAAACAACTTTCCTCTCTGAACACAAATACGGATACATTTCTGGTGGGAGGGAAGAAGCCGGGGGAGTGCAGGGGTTTATTGGTCTTGCTAGACTCTAAACCCATCTAAGTCCAGACTTGACATGATAAAAAGCTGGTCTTTTGAGATAGTATCAAGACCAAGGATCAGGTATTCAGTGACAATGGAGTCTGCTTTATCCCATCACATAATCTCAAGGTTAAATCTAAGCAGCTATAGTTGCTCTCTCTCTCTCTCTCTCTCTCTCTCTCTCTCTCTCTGTGTATGTTGTATACTTCATCTAGCATCAGTGTGTATTATGTATTTTATTGCTCCAAAACTGGAGCAAGAAAAATATTTCCGTGTACTTATAATTTTTTTAAGTGCTGAGGCTTGAACCCAGAGCCTTGCACATGCTATGAAAATGATCTATCACTGAGTTACATTTCAGCCCTATGTTCTTTAGTTTTTCAAAACACTATGTGACATCTTTTTGTTATTATTATCCTCCTCCCACCTCCACAAAGACGGACAGATCTAGAATCAGCATCCAAATCTGTATCACCTATTTTTCAGGTAAGAAAGGTGAGTTATGGACTTTAAGGTCACATTGCTGTTGTAGAGCAGAGCTACGCAGAAGTTGGCATCTCTGGACACCCAGCCAAGGGGTCAGCTAAGTTACAAAAAAAAAAAAAATGCCAACTGCTGAATCTCTGAGAATTTTAACTACTGGTTTTTAAACATAGCTAGCTATTATTTAAAGGGAAATTACATAAACTTACAACTAAGTTATCTATATTAAAAAACAAGAGTAATATATGCTAAAAACACATGTCTCCCTACCTCTGCATCCTGGAATGGCAGGAGGGCAACTGGAAACTGGCCACACCATAGAGACACCTAAGCTACTGAGATGGACAGATGCTTTCCTCCCAGAGAATTCATGTTGAATCTGTGCACCATCATACCATGGATTGCCTCACTTCCCTCTTGATATCAGGCAAAGGCCCTCAGAAACATAAACAGCTTCACGGTCTACTCACCTGGGACAGATTCTGGAGCACAAATGGGGAAGTAGCAGGGACGACTTACCGTAGCTTCACATTCTGCCCGGTGTAGGATTCATAAGGCTTCTCCACATGGGTGAACTCAAAGTCGAAGGCCTGTGACTGGGTGATCTCACCAGGCCGAGCCAAGTCCTTCACCAGGGATACAAACTCATGGTGGTTCCCCCGATCATAGTAGAGTTCTGGTGAGAGAGGGAGATGGACAGGGAAGTTTCCTCTATTAGACCCAGGCCACGTGGAGACTGGTGAGGATGCTCCAGGCTAGAAGCACCACTCTCCTGACCGACTCTCCACAATCAACCCCGTTTAGCCTTAGTTTTGGATTCTTTCCCTGACTTCTGCCCTTCACCATATTCACTGGTATCCCTGTTTCCAAAGAGTTGTCCACTTTTTTGGTTGTTTGAGAAGCAATCTCTCTATGTTCTGGACTAACCTTGAACTCCTGGGCTCAATTGATCCTCCTGCCTCAATCTCACAAATATCTAGGTCTATAGGTGTGCAACACCATGCTTGGCTGTCTCCTGCATCTTATGAGGTCCCATAGTTCATAGAGAACCCAATATAACCCTGTTCCAAAACACTGCCATCATTAGCAATCCAGTTACTGTGCAGCCCAATGAAAGTATATGGATAGAATAGAAACAGGGGCTCAGGTATGGCTCAAGTGGTAGAGTGCCAGCCCTGAGCAAAAAAGCCAACCAAGAACTTGAGGCCTTGAGTTGAAGCCTAGTGACCAACCCAACAAACAAACAACCCTAAGCAAAACCTTTTAACATTTCTAACTTCTGAAAAAATATGCATAGTTACTTATTCATATCAACCCCCTTAGAATAATCTTGCAAGATTGTTAAGGTTGAACCTTATCACTTAATTAACAGTGATGGAACCTGAGGTGTAGCATGGAGGGCTTCTTCCTATACTGTCTCTATGTCTGGGACATGCTATTAATGGGAAAAATAACACAACCTGCTTCATATGGTTTTCTTTTCAGTAGCAGGGTTTTCAACTCAGGGCATTATTCTTGCTTGGCTTGCTTGCTTGGCTGGTGATGTACCATTTGAACCACATCCCCAGCCAAGCTTTTGCTGGTTATTTTGGAGATGGAACTTGGTGAGCTTTTCTGCTCAGCTCGGCTTTGAATATCAGTCCTCTAGGTTTCTGTCTCCTGAGTAGGTAGGATTACATTGATGAGCCATGAGCACCTGGCTTCATAAGGTTTTATGAGAAGTAAAAGAGTTAATTTTGGGAAAGGATTTAAAATAGTATACTCAATAAACAGGGCTACTAACTGCTCCCATGGCTCAGAAGGCCTTCTCCAACTTCTACATGCTTTACAATTCTCTACAGGCTGGCTGGAACTCAGATTGCTTGGAGGTCTCACAAGCTCTAGGGGTGCTAGTACCATACTTTGAGATACATGGCTCCCAGTTCATCCCCTTCAAGGAACATTTCTGTTGTTTTATGTTATGCTTAGTTCACTATTGGTCCCATGTTACTTTATGTATATGAGATCTTTCTTTTCCGCTTTAGACCAAAGGCCTTTTAAAAATGACGCCCATGGGAAAACTGGATATTCACATACAGAAAACTGAAACTGGATCCTTATCTGTCACCCTGTACTCATCTCAATTCAAAATGGATCAAATACCTCAATGTAAGACTTGAAACAATGAAAACTATTACAGCAAGGAGTAGGAGAAACATTAGAATTTCTTGATACAGGCAGGAACTTTCTGAGTGAAGTTTTAGGGGCTCAGCAAATCAAAGAATCAACAAACAGGACTGAATCAGACTTAAGAAGTTTCGCATGGCAAAGAAAATAGTTAACAAGCTAAAAAAGACAGCCTACAGAATAGGAGATCTTTGCCAGCTATATGTCGCACAATCCCCTAATATCCAGAATATACAAAGATCTCAAGAAACTAAACCCTCCAAGAATCAACAACACAGTTAATAAGTGGGCAACTGAGTTAAATAATAACTTCTCAGAAGAAGTAAATATGGCCAATAGGCACATGAAGAAATCCTCAACATCTCTCACCAAAAGGAAATGCATATCAAAACAACATTGAGATTTTATCTCACAGAACAGCCATCATCAAGAATATAAACAATAACAGAAGCTGGCACAGATGTGGGGAGGAAGGAACTCTAATGCACTGTTTGTGGGAATGTAAACTTGTTCAACTATTCTGGAACGCAGTTTGGAAATTCCTCAAAAAATGAAACACAGAACTATCATATGATCCAGCAATTCTACTTCTGGGTATTTATCAGAAAGATTACAAACTAGACACAGTAAAGCCACTTGCACAACCATGTTCATTGCAGCATTACAAATAGTCAATATGGTATGAAAACAGCCCAGATGCCCCTCAATGGACGAATGGACCAAGAAAATGTGGTATATATACACAATAGAATTTTACTCATCCATTAGGAAGAATGGTATTACATCATTTGCAAGGAAATAAATGGACATGGGAAAATATAATGTTAAATGAAGCCAGATCCCAGATGTGGAAGCTAGAACTAATTTATAAATGTATAAGTAAACACAAATGGGGTTGTATGCAAGTGTACATCAAAGTATTAATCAAAGTATGGTGTTTGCAGGGAGAATTCAAACAGTGAAATTCCTTAGAGCATCTTATAGCCCAACAATGCCAGAAATCTGGCACTTGGAGGAGGAAAAGGTGGAGGAGAGAAGCAATGGGAGTGGGGTTGACAAATGAAGAGAGGAAAGAGGAGAATGCAGTCATAATACTCAATTCATATTCTATGAAATAAAGAAAATTGGGATGGGAGGGAGAGGGGAAAATGATGACATTGGTCAAGATGCATTGTACTTATAAGCTGATTTGTTGACTAGTAACTCCCTTGTACAACTAATTAAAGATAATAATTTTTTAAAAAAAGAAGTTCATATCCCTAGCTTCCCAACCCTTACTAAGACCCAGGCCTGCAGAGGTGAATATTGAATTCTGACCATAATGACACATGGCCACACCCCAGGTGTTCCTGGGTTCCAGCTCTGTTGGCTGCAACCAAAAGTGGGGAGATAAATTAGGAGATGAAGCAGGCAAAAGGATACTTGCTGCTTTGGCAGTTTGCTGCTTGGGAGAAAGAGAGGTCCACAGAGAGCAGTCTCTGGGACAACCACACATTGGGCCTCTCTCTCTCTCTGGGGTGATCTGACATCAAGAGGAGAGCTGCGTTTGCTCGAGGACCAGCTCAGGAAACACAGATCTAAGTCTTGATTAGGAATGAAGCATTCTTAGCCCTCCCCCCAAGCCAGATCTCTTGCCTCCCCAGGGCCAAAAAGCAGTGTTCAACCCTGCCTCAAGGGGGAAGAACCAGGCCCAGAAAATACAAAACTGGATTTGGCTGGTACTTTTCACCCTGAGTGCAACATTTCCCTCATGGCTGGTCCAGGAGCTTCCTCTGACATACCAATTCCATAGAGACTGTTCTTTTACTGGGTGGGTTTGTGGGGTCATTTCTTAGCAGAGCAAGTTCTGCCATAAGATTTATCCAACTTGGAGATTAGAACAAATCATGTTAAGTGAGGTAAGCCACGCTCAGCAAGACAAAATGCACATGTTTTCTCTCATAGGGGGAAGCCAGATTTAAAATACAACTGCACATGAGAACTTATACAGGACTTCATTCATTTACACAAACAGACTGAAGGAGGGTATAGCTAGTGGAGGAACCCAAAGGTGTAACTCCTCTGAATATCTAAGGTACTATTTATCAAGTGAATTCCAAACATCTTTCCCCCTCCTCCCCTGATAGGGGAAGGGCACAGGAATGGATGGAGGAAAGGTTAGCAAATGCAGTCACTGTATTCAATAGACACTATGTAAAAAAATGATCTATTCAACTCTTGGGTATGGATAAACAAAGGAAGGAAGGAATGTCCAAGAAACATTGCACCCATTATGGAATTGCAAAGCCTTTGCATAACTCAATAATAATAATTATAATAATAATGAAGAAGAAGAAGACGGAGGAGGAAGAGGAGGAGGAGGAGGAGAAGAAGAAGAAAAGAAGAAGAAGAGGAGGAGGAGGAGGAGGAGGAAGTGGAAGAGGAAGAGGAAGAGGAAGAATAATATACATCCAGCTTGAGCTGCAGGTGTAGCTTACTACATTGCCTAATACAATGCACTTGCTTAGCATGTATGGAGTGCCTGAGTGTAATCCCAGAACTGCAACAAATAAACAAAACCAGATTTATCCACCTTGGTAAAGTGGCAATAATGTGATGGTCCCACCTTAGTGATGCTCGTCCCATATGAATTTACAGTGTATTCTGTGGTTACTATGTACGTTGGATCAATATTGTACTGCAAACAACCATCTTCTCTTCCAAACATTAAATGATTTCTGCAGTGGGCAGCTTTCTGGGTAGTGATAATCCACAAAAATGTGCTAAAGGGAGATGACAGCTCCAAACTATGTGGGGGGAAAGTGAGCAGTCCAGTAATGTGTTGCCAGTGAAAGCAGGGAGCTGGCCAAGTGCCGCAGCTCTTGCTTAGGAGCTTCTTGGAAGACAGATATTGAGAGGATTGCAGTTCATGGGAGGCCCAGGCAAGAAGTTCATGAAACTTTATCTAAACCAATAAAAAAAAATCTGGCTGGGGGTGGGGAAAGTGCCTGTCAACCCAGCTATCCAGGCTAGTTTGGATGTCAGATCCTATTAGAAAAATAATGAAAGCAAGAATGGTTAGGGGCATGGCTCAAGTGGTAGAACGCTTGTCTATGCAAGCACAAGACTGAGTCCAGTGCCTAGTACTGCCCACCCCCCAAAAAGCAAAACATTGCAGGAACAGGTAGAAACAGGGCCTGGACCAGCTCCAGCAACCAGGACTCCTGTAATCACTCTTGCTTCCTGGGCCCTGGTTGATTGTGATGACTCCTTAACTTGGGAACCTGGTAACTTAGTTCCCAAACACTAGATTCTGGCCCTAAGTTCCAGGGTACAGAAGCCCACAGAGAAAAGGCCTCAATGTGCATGAGCTTTAAGTGGGAAATCCCAGAGTTCAGAGGAAGATGGGAAGAGAAGGATGGAAAAATACACAAATGTGATCCCACAGCTCAAAGGCAACATGAGAAATAAACAAAACAGAGAAGGTTCATGGAGTGCTTAGGCTGCCAGCATTCAGGATCCTAGCAACGG